GTACCAATACATTACACCATGAATTCATTCCTTCTGATTTCATATTTGTATTACATTAATACCTACAGACCCGTACCAGGTCAGGGCTCCATGTTGGTAGGCAATGATAGTTTCAGTTTAAGTCATGACTCAACAGGTGGGTGTAACAAACAATGCTGGCCAGAAAAAAGTCTTTCTCTCCCACAAAAAAGTTCAATTTTTTTGAAAAAACTTTTATTCTGAATCAGGATGAAAAGTCAAAATTTTATATTTTTTTTCATGCGAGGAAAAGACAGAAAAAAATCCATTTGGAAAGAACCAAAATAGATGTTTTTGACTTATTCCCTGGGCTGCCTGACTCCCTCATAGGCTGTGTGATTAGCAAGGTGCTAATACACTTGCATGGTGCTAGGAGCATTTGTGCTGCAGGAGGTCACCTCTGGATGAGATGCAGAACTTGGGCTCTGACCATTTTTGTTTGTTAGGAACCTGATACATGCTTGTAGTGTTATCCTCCAATCGCTGGCATGTTTTGAGAGTGTTCAGACAAGCTTTGGGGGGGCGGGGGTGAATGAAATGGGTAACCTACAGATAACTAGCTCCTGTTTGTTAGATGGGTTATTATTCAATGTTTTAAGACTTCTAAAGGGTACATTGCTTGGATTATCAGTCTACCACCAAGAAAAATTATTTTCTTGAGACAAAGGCAAGACTGAAAGCCCAGGAATACGCTGCATCATTAAGAGATGCTGCTTCATATGAAATGGTCATTTATAAATTGTCTAATAATAAAGATGTGTATGGGGACATCTGGGGTCCTTATCTTTTATACTGTATAATGGCAATCAGGAACTTTAATCTCCCTTAATCCTTCCCTCCCCTCTCTGACATCTTTCTTTCTTTCTTCTTAAGAAGGCTGAAGAAAATGTTTACTCTATGAATATATATTCATCCGTCTCAGCTCCGTCAGCTGATCAAATTCCTGCAGGACACTGAAGTTGCAGATCTGTTTGCAAGTGTAGCACTGCATGAATTTATTTCTCTTGGTTGTCCTTCTGTGATTGTGGATTATGCTTTCAGTAGTTACCTCTCCTACAGAGAACTCACGCAGAGCTATAAAAATCCATCACTGCAGGAACTGGCATTACACTAAAAATGGATATGCCCTCTCTTGATACAGCTGGTGGTGCCCTTTATCAGGCAGTATCAAAACTGTTAAAAATTAATGTTCATGCTGCATAATAGCTTACAAGAAGAGGAATATTTCCACAAGACAACAATGCCATGTGAAATGAGAGAAGGAGAAAAAGTGCAACACGCAGAGCACTCAAATGTTCCAGTTCATAAAGAAGGAAGAGAACTCTTGGTAAAGGATCTTTATATGTGTGTGAGATACTCACTTAATTGAGAAAATAAGTTAATCAGCTGAAGTGTGAAGTTATAATTAGCAATACAAATGCTAGTAGGGAACGTTGCATGGTTATCGTGCTCTGCACCTGAAGATTCCAAAGCACTTTATAAACCCTGGGAGGTAGATGTCTTAGGGCCAGTGCAGAGATAGAAGGGATGTGGCTTGCACTTCCCCTATTCAAGGGTTGCCATGAACCAGTGTACCACCTGACACAGGCTTGAGCAGCCCTGAGGAGGGCCCCAGCCATAACCTTCATCTACTCCCTCCCTCCTCTGAGCTGCCCCAGAAGATACTCTCTGCACTGAAGCTTTCAGGGGTTGTGGTGGGGGCAGGGATCACAAAGTGTCTTTGAACCAAAATAATTAATTGAGGGTTGTGAGCGGCCACAAGACAACTTTGAACCAGGCCCTGGGCCACTGCCTTGCACCTAGTGTCATCAGTGCAAAGTGTAAAATGTCACCGTTCAGATTTGCACAGGTACCAATGGTGACACAGTGCAAGCCTAAGAAGAATCAGGCACATTTCATGCTTTCTGATAACTCCCTTGTCAGGTAGGTAAATGTTACGGACAGGTTGTGAAAGTTGGCTTCTTGTTTCGGATCTGCAGTCTGTACACAGAAAGATTGTTAGATTGCTTGGACCTGATTTGTAGGTTCAGTCTGGTATCTAAATATCATGATGATCCTAATTATAAGTGCATGACTAAGCCTAATCAATTGCAGGAGCAAAATCAGAGGCTGGGTTAAGGCCAGGCTGAAAGTCTGGTTCTATTTTTGTTTTACAGTTTGGGTACCTAAGTACAGTTAGGTCAAGTGCTTGGCACCCATATGGTCACACTGTGACAGAGCTAGAAAGAGATCCAATGTCACTGACTCCTAGGGGCTTGATTCTGGTGTAGGTCAGAGGTGCACAATTGGTGTGAGATCAGGAGTCGGGAGTCTGCTTGATGCCATTTACCTGCTAGACCACACTCGCTTCTCAGCCAACCATAACCAAAACAATAGGTCTATTTCCCTCCCAAGACCCCCCGCAAATTAGTGATGGTCTATTCCAGAAGGACAATTAGTTGCAAGTCATGACTGTCCAACATCACTTAATGCTAGATTGTGGAACCCTTACATCACCCTATATCAGTGAGCAGTGGCAGAACTGGGAATAAAACCCACGTTTCTTTACTCCCACTTGCCTGTCCTAACCACCAGGTCACATGCAGCCTTATGCTTTGTGGATCATTCTGTTATAATATATAACATAATCCCAAATGCTGTGTATGTACATTTTCTTCATTCTGTCAACTGTTAATTCCCTGGATCTATGCCTAAATATTGCTACTGTGTATGTTCATAATGTTCATAGTACCACCGACAGAAATTGGTCACTCCTTTAGAGATCTTATTCTTATCAGCAATAATAATCCTTAGCCCTGGTCTACACTAGGTCTAATTTAGGTCGAATTTAGCAGTGTTAAATCGATGTAAACCTGCACCCATCCACACGATGAAGCCCTTTCTTTCGACTTAAAGGGCTCTTAAAATCGATTTCCTTACTCCACCCCTGACAAGTGGATTAGCACTTAAATCGGCCTTGCCGGGTCGAATTTGGGGTACTGTGGACACAATTCGATGGTATTGGCCTCCGGGAGCTATCCCAGAGTGCTCCATTGTGACCGCTCTGGACAGCACTCTTAACTCAGATGCACTGGCCAGGTAGACAGGAAAAGAACCGCAAACTTTTGAATCTCATTTCCTGTTTGGCCAGCGTGGCAAGCTGCAGGTGACCATGCAGAGTTCATCAGCAGAGGTTACCATGCAGAGCTCATCAGCAGAGGTGACCAGGATGGAGTCCCAGAATCGCAAAAGAGCTTCAGCATGGACTGAACGGGAGGTACGGGATCTGATCGCTGTATGGGGAGAGGAATCCGTGCTATCAGAACTACGTTCCAGTTTTCGAAATGCCAAAACCTTTGTCAAAATCTCCAAGGGCATGAAGGACAGAGGCCATAACAGGGACACAAAGCAGTGTCGTGTGAAACTTAAGGAGCTGAGGCAAGCCTACCAGAAAACCAGAGAGGCGAACAGCCACTCCGGGTCAGAGCCCCAAACATGCCACTTCTATGATGAGCTGCATGCCATTTTAGGGGGTTCAGCCACCTGTACCCCAGCCGTGTTGTTTGACTCCCTCAATGGAGATGGAGGCAACACAGAAGCAGGTTTTGGGGACGAGGAAGATAGCTCACAGCAAGCAAGTGGAGAAACCGGTTTTTCCGACAGCCAGAAACTGTTTCTCACCCTGGACCTGGAGCCAGTACCCCCCGAACCCACCCAAGGCTGCCTCCTGGACCTGGCAGGCAGAGAAGGGACCTCCGGTGAGTGTACCTTTTAAAATACTATACATGGTTTAAAAGCAAGCATGTGAAAGGATTAATTTGCCCTGGCATTCGCGACTCTCCTGGATGTACTCCCAAAGCCTTTGCAAAAGGTTTCTGGGGAGGGCAGCCTTATTGCATCCTCGATGGTAGGACACTTTACCACTCCAGGCCAGTAACAGTACTTGGGAATCATTGTACAACAAAGCATTGCAGTGTATGTTTGCTGGCGTTCAAACATCTGTTCTTTATCTCTCTGTGTTATCCTCAGGAGAGTGAGATATCATTCATGGTCACCTGGCTGAAATAGGGTGCTTTTCTTCAGGGGACACTCAGAGGTGCCCGTTCCTGCTGGGCTGTTTGCCTGTGGCTGAATAGAAATGTTCCCCGCTGTTAGCAACGGGGAGGGGGGAGGGTTGAGGGGGTAGCCACATGGTGGGGGGAGGCAAAATGCAACTTTGTAACGAAAGCACATGTACTATGTATGTAATGTTAACAGCAAGGTTTACCCTGAAAGAGTGCAGCCACTGTTTTATAAAATGTGTCTTTTTAAATACCGCTGTCCCTTTTTTTTTCTCCACCAGCTGCATGTGTTTCAATGATCACAGGATCTTCTCCTTCCCAGAGGCTAGTGAAGATTAGAAAGAAAAAAAAACGCACTCGTGATTAAATGTTCTCTGAGCTCATTCTGTCCTCCCACACTGACAGAGCACAGACGAATGCGTGGAGGCAAATAATGTCAGAGTGCAGGAAAGCACAAAATGACCAGGAGGAGTAAGTGGCGGGCTGAAGCTCAAATGTGGCGGCAGCGTGATGAGAGGAGGCAGGATTCAATGCTGAGGCTGCTGGAGAATCAAACCAGTATGCTCCAGTGTATGGTTGCGCTGCAGCAAAGGCAGCTGGAGCACAGACTGCCACTACAGCCCCTGTGTAACCAACCGCCCTCCTCCCCAAGTTCCATAGCCTCCACACCCAGATGCCCAAGAACGCGGTGGGGGGGCCTCCGGCCAACCAGCCACTCCACCACAGAGGATTGCCCAAAAAACAGAAGGCTGGCATTCAATAAATTTTAAAGTTGTAAACTTTTAAAGTGCTGTGTGGCATTTTCCTTCCCTCCTCCACCACCCCTCCTGGGCTACCTTGGTAGTCATCCCCCTATTTGTCTGATGAATGAATAAAGAATGCATGAATTTGAAGCAACAGTGACTTTATTGCCTCTGCAAGATCAAAGGGAGGAGGGGAGAGTGGTTAGCTTACAGGGAAGTAGAGTGAATCAAGGGTCGGAGGGGGTTTCATCAAGGAGAAACAAACAGGACTTTCACACCATAGCCTGGCCAGTCATGAAACTGGTTTTCAAAGCTTCTCTGATGCGCACCGCGCCCTCCTGTGATCTTCTAACCGCCCTGGTGTCTGGCTGCGCGTAACCAGCAGCCAGGCGATTTGCCTCAACCTCCCACCCTGCCATAAATGTCTCCCCCTTACTCTCACAGATATTGTGGAGCACACAGCAAGCAGTAATAACAGTGGGAATATTGGTTTCGCTGAGGTCTAAGCGAGTCAGTAAACTGCGCCAGCGTGCCTTTAAACGTCCAAATGCACATTCTACCACCATTCTGCACTTGCTCAGCCTGTAGTTGAACAGCTCCTGACTACTGTCCAGGCTGCCTGTGTACGGCTTCATGAGCCATGGCATTAAGGGGTAGGCTGGGTCCCCAAGGATACATATAGGCATTTCAACATCCCCAACGGTTATTTTCTGGTCTGGGAATAAAGTCCCTTCCTGCAGCTTTTGAAACAGACCAGAGTTCCTGAAGATGCGAGCGTCATGTACCTTTCCTGGCCATCCCACGTTGATGTTGGTGAAACATCCCTTGTGATCCACCAGAGCTTGCAGCACTATTGAAAAGTACCCCTTGCGGTTTATGTACTCACCGGCTTGGTGCTCCGGTGCCAAGATGGGGATATGGGTTCCGTCTATGGCCCCACCACAGTTAGGGAATCCCATTGCAGCAAAGCCATCCACTATGACCTGCACATTTCCCAGACTCACTACCCTTGATATCAGCAGATCTTTGATTGCGTTGGCTACTTGCATCACAGCAGCCCCCACAGTAGATTTGCCCACTCCAAATTGATTCCCAACTGACTGGTAGCTGTCTGGCATTGCAAGCTTCCACAGGGCTATCGCCAGTCGCTTCTCAACTGTGAGGGCTGCTCTCATCTTGGTATTCATGCGCTTCAGGGCAGGGGAAAGCAAGTCACAAAGTTTCATGAAAGTGCCCTTACGCATGCGAAAGTTTCACAGCCACTGGGAATCATCCCAGACCCGCAACACTATGCAGTCCCACCAGTCTGTGCTTGTTTCCTGAGCCCAGAATTGGCAGAAGATGGTGCAGTAGGACTGCTAGCCATCCTCATCTCTTGCCTGCCTGGCAGAAGATGGTACAGTAGGACTGCTAGCAATCCGAATCGCCTGCCTGCTCACCATGAGATGGTTCAATAGGACTGACTGCAGGACTAAAGAGAATGACCTGGTCAAGTCACTCCAAATTTAGTCCCTGCACCCATGTCTGTCCAGGCGCTCCTGATCGACCTCACAGAGGCGACCAGGAGCACCTCGGACATGATGATGACGGCTACCAGTCCTACTGTACCGTCTGCTGCCACAAGGCAATGGGTTGCTGCTGCTGTGTAGCAATGCAGTACCATGTCTGCCAGCACCTAGGAGACATACGGTGACAGTTACCTGAGCGGGCTCCATGCTTGCTGTGGTATGGCATCTGCACAGGTAACTCAAGAAAAAAGGCGTGAAACGATTGTCTGTTGCTGCTTTCACGGAGGGAGGGAGGGAACGGGGGCCTGACGATATGTACCCAGAACCACCCGCGACAATGTTTTAGCCCCATCAGGCATTGGGATCTCAACCCAGAATTCCAATGGGCAGCGGAGACTGCGGGAACTGTGGGATAGCTACCCACAGTGCAACACTCCGGAAGTCGAATCTAGCCTCGGTACTGTGGAAGCACTCCACCGAGTTAATGCACTTAATGCACTTAGAGCATTTTCTGTGGGGACACAAACACTCGAATATATAAAAACGATTTCTAAAAAAAAGATTTCTATAAATTTGACCTAATTTCATAGTGTAGACATACCCTTAGTCTGCTCAAGTGAGGACTATGACATGTCAGTATCATAATTCTCCTTTACTAGTGAGATGAGATTCAAGAATATTCTAACTAAAACCCCCCAAAAGATTGGTGTTTGTTTTGTCATAGAAATTGAAAAGTAGTTTCACTTTTACCAATCTATACTTTAATCCTGTCAGTGATTTGTACTGAGTTCTGAAAATGCAGTTGAGAAATATACCAGGTCCCTGCTATGTATGGTTTTATGTGTCTATTGTGATAATCCATGGATATAAAACACAGGACAGGTTTGTCATCTGTCTTGCATTTTGTGGAGTTATTTACAACTGTGTCAAGTGGGTACAAAATGTTACCCCACCAGTGTGAGTGGGGAATGCTCATTTGGTAACATTTTACATCCACCTACATGGGGTGCTGTAGACTCTCATTGTAAAATTTAACTTCTGGCAAAAGACAACTATCCTATTCACTTCCCTATCTACAGTGTAATATACCCAGCCTTCAGGGGCAACACAAGGTGCTGGTCATTGTTATCACACAATTGCAGAGCCTGCAAATAAATGTGAAGAAAAGCAAATAAGATGGTATGATACATTGCATATGAAAATATATGCACAAAGACTTGACTTTAATCGTATTAAATCAATAAGGATTCTGGCTCTCTGGCACCCCCTCCTGCAGAGCTAGCACTGCAGTCAGGTCTAGAGCTGCATGAATGCTGTGATGATTTGGGAAATCTGTCTGTACAATTTATGAATTCTGTGTCAGATTATGAATGCTCTGTATGTATGTTTATCCAACTGAAAACTCCATTTTCAATGTAGGGACTAGTTGTCTTCTCTGCTGTCTGCTTGTCTCTATGTCAGACTAAAACTCCAAGTCTTAGTGATACAGGGTTGACTATAGATAGAGGGTCATTGACTTAAGTGCTCTCCCATTGAAATGGGATCGATCTACATAATAGGCTGACTCCTAGGTAGGAGAATTGATTTGTCAGGGAAGGGATCACGTGGCAACAAAGTCACATGCCAGAGTTCTGTGATCCTCTGTTGAGGCTTATCTGGAGGTCACGTGGCTGAGGGACTGGAAGGTTAATAAAGGGCAGGAGCTGATTAATTCAGGATCTTTAGCCATTTTCATGAACTCAAGATGAGGGAGGCTGCTGTAGGAGCCTGATGAGGCATGGGGGAACCCTGCCTATCTGAACAAAAATGGTCCCCCAAGGACTGACAAAGGAAGATCGAGCTAGAGTAAGGGGCATTGCATTCATGTTGTTTGTTGTTTTCTATATGATCTATACTTTCTGTGTATTTCCCATGCTTAAGTAAATGCTGTGTTTGAGTCCTGTGCAAAGCCTATATGTGTTATGTGCTACACCTTATCAAGTGCCTCCCGAGAGAGTTAAATGATAATCCAGACAGCTCACACCTTGGGTGAGATTGTGGGAGAGGGTGTTTTTAAGATACAGGCAATCTTGAGGGGCCAGTACTAGTTCCAGGGATTGGGCAGCAGGCTGCTCTCAAGAGGGGATGCTAGATAGAAGATCTGCACTGTGAGGGTGTGCCTAGGGACTCCAAGATAGGGACGGTGTCTGGGCTCTGTTCAGACTCTGAAGGCTTAAAACACATGGGGTCCAGCAGCTGGGTCCTCTTGAAGCAGTCTGGTGAGTGTCCAAGAAGGGTTGCTCAACTAGAGCTGTGGCACACACTGTTAATCCTTAGCATGGCCCTCTGATTAGTGCAATCCCACTTGCAGAAGGGGCTGGGTCTATAAATGGCAGGTCTTCTTCCATTTTGGATTCATTCTCTTGCACAGCAAACCAGCCAAAGAAGATAGCTTTTAAACAGGAGAAAGGGAATAGGAAAGAAAGGAGCACACAGAAGGAGAGAGGTGGAAATTTCTGGGAGCGTACACCCTCTGGCTGACTTGAAACTGTAAAGGAAAGTTGGGAGTCAAAGGTGTTACATCTTGGATTTCTCTGGAGCTAAGGGACATCTCACTATCACATCCTCCACATGCTGCTTTTACTTAGTCCCAAAAGACCTGAAAAGGAAAGATAAATCCTGGTTGGGCTACTACATAAGTTACAGTTAGAAAGCATCACTGTGAATATGGAAAACAAGCCAACCAGAAGCAGCGCTGGGAAAAGCAGTCTGGGAAACTCACTTTTCTTTAAAGAAAAGGAGTACTTGTGGCACCTTAGAGACTAACCAATTTATTTGAGCATGAGCTTTCGTGAGTCTCTAAGGTGCCACAAGTACTCCTTTTCTTTTTGCGAATACAGACTAACACGGCTGTTCCTCTGAAACCTGTCACTTTTCTTTGCTTATGTTGGAGTCTGGCAGCTACCCCCTGGGCCATTCATGGATCTTGTGCTCTGTTACACCCCTGAATTAATCCTAGGGGAGTCCAGCAGTGATGTGCTGGAGAGGAGTTCTTGGGCACTCCCAACAGCCCATTGTTAAAAATCTACCACCAACAGAGGGGAGGGTTGGAGTGAGTGCCCTTCTACTGATAGACTTCACCCCCACCCCCACCCCCGGATATATCACAAGGTGAATTGTTCCTGGGATATATAAAAAATACTCTGACAAGCATTTTTTTAGTGGGCCAATTTGCAGCGGACGGCAGCTAATTAAAAAATCATATGGAAGAAGATGCCTCAATTCTCTGTAAGGTCTTTGCCCCCACATCAAACTATACAAGCTGAACGTGGTGGTATACTAACAATACACTCAGTATACTTTTCTGGAACAAAGTATTAATGTGTCCAGCAAGTTCACTTAATATTTGTTTGCCAAGTGGTGCCTCCCTTGTTGGTTGTGTTTGAGAAAGCATTTTTATTTTAATGGAAAGACAAATTATAGACCCGCTTCATCCCTCCATTCTCCGCTCTGTCTGCACATACACCCTTCCTATGCAGGGTTCCTTAAAAGAAAAGAGGGTAATGTTATGGGAGCCATTTGTTTAAAACATTGTCAGTACACAGTTGGAGTTGAGTCTGGAAGACCAGAGTGAATCTCTCAGTCATATCAGCAGACACACTGTGTTCATGTGTGAGGCAGGTGTCAGACTATAATGCTGGAAAAGACATGTTGGAATAAACTGCTTGAGGTCTCTTGAAGAATGTGTTCTAGGTGATTAAGCAGTAATTCTTCTCAGCAGAGAAAAGGCTAAGTTTCTTGCCGATGAACTGTCTTACATCCAATAAGGCACTTTGACTCAATTTTTTTTTTCCCTCATAGGCTAGTAGCAGAAAAAGAAGCCAAAAACTGAATGGTTTTTGGTCTCTTTCTTAAGAGGTGCAGTTTCCATCTAGTGAAATGGGACTTTATAGTTATTTGACTCTATATTTCAGAATCACCCTGATGGAGTAAAGATATAAAGATTCTGATATTACACTATCATAGAGCTACTAATAGGAGTTCTTTTGGATTTACTTGGTGGAAATGAGCTCAGAATATGGCTCACAAATAACTTATTACTTGGTGCTGCTTATCAATATTATTGTAGTAATGGAATTAATCCTGATTTACAATGGTGAAGAGACCCAGTCTATCCACATATACTATTCTTAAATGAGCTTGTTTTTGTCATATCTTGCCTATGTGATGTCTTAAGATGTATGCCTCATATGATGGCAGCTCCAGGTCATGATCTCACATGTGAGCGGGGATTTCCCTAAACCCCCACATTGGGGTGTTTACTCTTCCCCCCCCCCCCGAATTTCCCCAACACCCCCCCCAACACACAGTTTTGTGAACTAGTTACATGCAATGTCACCAATTTAGTGATTGTTTGGAAATTTGAATTGAAATTGAAACATTAATACACACTTTAAAGGCATATAACGTGTATCATAAAATACGTGTATTTGAAAAAGTAGAATGGATTTGAAAAGTATGAACATAGACTAGCTTCCTTATACAGCTGTTGTTTTTTATGGCAATGTCAGAGCATTCATTTCAATGATGTTGGCCAGCCTAATAGTGACAGCTAGTGATGAGCTGGGGGTTGGGGGGAAAGGCTTCAGGACCAGATTATATTTACACTCACACCTAATCTATTTAGGTATCCAGCAAACAGAGCTGTGTTGCCCAAGTGATAGATTTTGGCTGGGGTTGGGTTATAAATCACTTGAATGCGGGGGGGGGGTGTAAAGAAATGTTGTTATTCTTATTGTATGAGTAAAGGGCAGTAGAACTGTACTTAGCCTGTCTTGATTGAGGGCATCAAGAGAGACAGTGGGGGCAGGTATTTTGCTTGATGGTCTGACTGAGTCACAAGTACGATTTGACCTGCCCCTCTCCACTGTTTAAAGACAGAGTGGTTAGGCTCCATAGAAGTCTTTGTTTTGTTAAGTGATCACTACAGCTGAAATCACTGATAATCAGGTCTAAGTGCTTAGACCTGCTGTGGGACAGTGTTTCTGTGGAAGAGATTGCCCAGCCTGCACAAGCAGCGAGGTTCCCCCACTGAGAGCTCAGCTGAAATCACTGAGAGCGGGTGGAACCTCAAGAGACCAACTTGCAGAGGTCACAGTGGCAGGTGGCAGCAGAAGGTGATGGCGCAGGGCCATTGGCAACAGAGCGATGGAGTGAACCGTGGCACAACGAAAAACAGTGGCCAGAGCAAACAGTGAGCAGCTGGAGGAATGAGCAAGATGCCTTCTTGCCCCCCACCTGGGAGGTAAACTCATTTGAAAGCAGCTCTGAACTCTGAGTCTCCACTAACCAATGACAGCACTGGTGAGTGTTAATGAGGCTGTTAAGAATGCTGGAGACACAACACAGTTCATGCGAACAAACATGGCCGTGGCATCATACTTTCTATTTAGGCAAGAGATACCACACACTACAAACTGGAGGCCAATGTTAAGTGCATTGTCACTTGTTCATCCTGAGGTTGAACACTGATTCCGAACAAGACCAGCAAATGCTCACTATCTTTCCGCAAGAAACTCAGCTGACTGGCTAGACACATGTGGTGCAACAGTGAAAGACTCAACAGTTGAAAAAGAGAAGAACTCTCTCACCACATTCCAAAAATTTGCATACATGGCTGATGAATGCACCAATGCAAATGGTCATCAAGTATTGATGCAATTATTTTGTGTCAGAATTCAGGGCATTTGCAGTACTTGGCGATTTAAAAAAAACCACCCAATATTTAGGAGGCACTATCATATTAAAAATTCCAAATATTTGGGGCCAAGTCATATTCCCATATAAAGTCAGTGGGAGATTTGCATTGACTTTGAAAGGAAAAAGATTGGACTCTAAACAGCTAATTTATGACAGACAAGTGTTATTTTGGTAGACTAGGGTTTTTTTTCCCCAAAGTATTTCAGGAAATTTATTAATAGCAACTGAAGAAATCTAAAAAAATAATTGAAAAAATGCAAAATTGCCATAGCAACCTCTGCATCACATACTGTAAGATCTCATGCCTCCAGAGAAGCACAGAGCTAACATGACCAGATGATTTCTTTTAAAATTCAGACTTTACAATATAAGCCCATTTAAAGACAATCACGAAGATAGTTCCTTTTTGATGATTTTTCTAGAGCAGCTCCACTGACATTTTCACAAACAAATTCATGATACAGTCTTTATACATTTTTAAATGATGTTGTTGTTGAAGTAAGGATGGCACTGAGATGAAGAGATTTCTAAAGGATGTGTGATATTCTTGTGATGAACTGGGGGGCTCTGTCTGTACATCTTATGAATTCTTGATGATAAAACAGGATCCTGAAATTACTGTGTCATTTAAAGCCTATATGTATATGGATCCCCCACTGCTGACAGGATATGCAGCAGGTACAGTCCAGGCTGAGGACAATGGGAAGGTACTTAATGAGGGTGCTTTGAACAGACAATGGAGATGCTCAACAGGGAGCAAACACTTCTTCCTCTGTCTGAAAGGAGAGGAAAGTCGGAGCAATGGAAAGTTACCAGACACAGAACAAAGGAAATCAGGTAACCAGGAGGGGCTTAGATAAGGAAACATGTTGGAAGCTGGGGGAAAGAGAGAGGAAGGTGACAGACACTGGGGAAGAAGTCTCCACGAAGGAGCAGCAGCCCGGCATGTGGCAGTCTCACAAGGCAGCGGGCCCGGCCTGTTTCCTGAGTCCAGATGGTCCCCAAGGACTCCCAAGAGAAGGGTGAGCTAGTGAGGGGCATTGCAATTAGAATGTTTGTTGTGTTCTAAATGATCTGGACTCTCTTGTCCTTTATAAGCTACAAGCTTCCAAAGAGAGTTATACAGTAAACCAGAATGCTCATACCTTTCAGTGGAATTCTGGGAGAGTGTGTGATTAAGTACAGGGGAGTCTGAAGGGCCAGCCCTGCACCCAGAAGGGCTAGGTAGCTGGATAGCAGGTTCCTAGGGATGCTAGGTGTCCAGTTTTTGACCGGAAAGTTCAGTTGAAAGGGGACCTGTACAGTGTCCGGTCAGAAGTACTGACCGGACACCAAAAGTCTGGTTACTGCCCCCAGGGGTGCTGGAACGGGGTGCCAAGTCAGTCTAGTGCTGACTTCCCCACATTGCAGTGTTCATGTGCCATTATGGTGGCAAAGAAAAATCAAGTTAATTTAAGCTGCCGCCTTCATAGGGGCACAGAAATCTCGAGTAAGAAATGCACACTATAGCATATTTTTAAAGCCTCGGTAAATATATCTGTTCAATTACTTCTGCTGTAGCATAGCTCAGTTTCACAACTCTTATACACTCCAGATAGCTTAACTTAAAAGGTGTTTGATATTATGTGTCATTACTAAATGAGCACTCTTACCTTTTTATATACAAGACATCTTTACATCATTTGCATTTGAAAGTACTGTGTAATTTTCAGCTTTGAGAGAGTTGAGCCCACGTTTCTGCACATAATTTTGTATTCCACTTAAAAATTCTCTCTCTCAGGGTGAAGCGTTCATATTCCTTTTGTGCTTGTGCTACCCAACATCTCTTGCCCTGCCAAGTTTGACCAGTATCTCTCATGAGTACTGCTCAGGAACACCCACACAGGGAGATGAAAGCTC